CTGGTGAAAGGGTACTATGTGATACACAACTTCTCTGATTTTAAGCTACTCTTAAAAATAGACCAGTTTTACATTCCCTTGTTCTGTTCTAAAGATGGCCTCTTAGTCCATGTACTGGTTTTGCATGAGCACAATGAAGTATTGTGGAATTCTGATTCTGCTCAATGTTATGCATAATTTGTTATGATCCACACAGTTGAATGCCTTTGTATATTTAATAAAAAATGAGTAAACATCTTTCTAGTATTTTCTGCTTTCACGGAAGATTCATCTCATATCAGCAATTATATCCCTCTCTATAAATGTTCTGAGTCTGTCTTGAATTTCTCTTGATTCACTGCTACAATTATTATTTAATGATATTTAGCAAAAATTTTGTGTCTCACCAAGATTGTCCAATAATTTCTGCATGCAGTTGGATCAGTTTGTAGTCACGAAAATTTAAAATGCATACCTGCTGTATTGCTTTTGGATGCCATCATGTCATGTCAGACCCATCAAAACCTCATGTGAAAGGGTAGAACTGCCCCATGAGATGTTCTTAATGAAAATAAATACCCAGTCTTTTCTCTTGTAGAGCTGCAGGGCTGCTTTAAATTGCAAGCTTTCGGCCAGTTTGCTGTCAGGAGTCCCATATGCTTACCCTATGAGCCAGTTATTCTATTCCCGTGGAATTTTCAAAGAGAAATTAAAGGATGTGCTCATGTGAATGCTTTTGCACAAAACAGCACTTTTATTCATTATCCCAAATTTAGAAATACCATCACTTTCCATTTTCAGGTAAATTGATAAGAATGGTATAGTATATGGATACAATGAAATATTACTTCAATCGTAAAAACAATGAACTTTTGATACAAGCAGTAACATTGATGAATCTCATGCCATTATGCTACATGAAAGTATACAAAGAAGTGCATATTATATGACTAATTTGTTTGAAGTTTTTCGGAAAGAAAACTAAGCAATATCAGAAAGCAGATCAGTTGTTTGGGAAACAAGGAGCATGGCTATGAAGCATTGCCATCGTGTTTGAAGAACTATTTAGGAGTGATTGATACATTCAGTATATGTATTGTGATATTTGCATCTAAATATGTATACATATGCAGGCACATGCGAAATTGCACCCTTTCTGTCTGTACAGTTTTGAATGCCATTTATAACCCAATTATAACTATGCCAATCCTAACAGTTGAACTTGTTTTAAGAAATAGAGAACAGAAGAAAAGAAACATAGGCACTGATGATCACCATTCCTCTATCAAATTCAGTTTTCAAAGCCTGTCTCATGTTTACAGCATGTTTTGAGAGCTGGGTAAGTATCCTATTAGGATTTGCAGAGGAAAAGATGTGGCCAAAGAAATGGAGTTTCTCATTTTAATAGTGGATCCTGAAGGGAGGATCACTGGGAAAGTGTGAGATTTGGGAAGGATTGAAATAATAAACTATTCCACGGTTGATGAAGTTTATCACCTCTAATTTATTGTTTCCTATGTGGTGTTTGCAAGAGGAATCTGGCCTTCCGTAGGTTTATTTTTTCAAGATATGAATATTTTTAAGTTATTCTCCCTCATACAGAATACATTTTTATCAGTTTCTTTAATAATCTAACTTCTTTTGGAACATAAAAGATATGTGGGTTCAGGTGTGTAATCCCTGTGTGTATATATGTGTGCAAGTGTGTGCAGTGGTAAAGGCGCTTTCCATAGACAAAATAATACACAGAACTGTGAAGTCTACTTTTCCCTATTGTAAATATATTCTTACATGACTTTTAAGTGGATCTTTTTAATTCAACTTTCATTTCTTGTGTGTTTTTACCCCTCACAATGAGGGATAATAACCACTGTTCTCTACTAATTATAAAATATGTAAACTTCATTTTAAGATAAGGATATAATTCTCAATTCTTTTACTTCTAATGTCTAATTTCAGTTTTTACTTACACAAATTTCAAATATTACTACAAATCTCTCTCATACAAATTATTTGTCTACACTAGTTATCTTTCATAAAGCCTAATGAACATAAATTTGCTTAGCAAAAAGTTTTGAGTCATCCAGCCTCTGAGAACCTGGAATCCCATGGGGCACGGAGGAAAAATAAATTAATTTTCAAAAAAATTTCAATTCTATCTGAACATGTCAATTATAACTGTAATCACAGTATACATCACAAATATTTGTCCTTGAAATTCTGCCTGATATAGTTTTAGTGTTTATTCTTCATGATAGTGATCCAAAAATTTAGATCCCAGAAAAGTTGGCACTTTTAGATAGATATGCACCTAGAACGCCACATATTAGAATAGTAAAATGGCTCTCCTGGGTTAGCACAGTTAGCTTATATAATATAATGACAGCCCTGAGCTGAAGACTTATTTGGGAGAGAGAAATCTTAAGCGGTCCACTTTAATATTCACTCATTTTCTTTATACTAGTAAATGTCCACTTTGCCGTAATATTGGGGAAACTCTAAAGTATGTTGTGCAAGAAACTGTCCCCATTCTTCCCTTTACGGTGAAACAGGCCAAGAGAATCCATTTATAGTAGTAGACATTTGACGATCAATTTAGCAGGAAAGTTGAAGGGCAAACCATAGGGTCTCTCATAGCTCTAATTAGTGTATTTATGGGAAGACACAAGTCCATTGGAAACAAAAAGAATTCAAGAAACACTTTAAGTGCATATGCACTCCAAATGCAGTATATTTGTTTCAATATTTAAATAATTACAATAGAATTATTTAGAGTAGCATAATTGTCCTACTGTTCATCAAATAGGAAGTTGTGTACATAACATAATTAATTAGGGCTATCTCCTTGGACCAGGTCCATATCTTAGTATCATGATATTTCCAAAGAAATCTATTATTTATGAAATTTAAATTTTGAATGTCAGACTCATCTGTTGCCTATGAATTCTGATAGAAAGATAAAACTAATTTAAAAAGTAGCTTCACTAGCATTTAATACTGGTATACCACAATTTGTTTCTTGGAATTTAAAAGGAGAAAGATATGTGGCAAAACAAAAATGGAGAAAGGCATTTATCTGACTCTTTGAAAAAGTATCCATTTACATTGTGGAACCAATATGATCCAAGTTTAAAATTATTTTGTGTCCTAATCTAGTCTGACACCATGTCCTCTGAATGCCATCTAACTAGTCATGGATGACAGAAGCCAATCATTTCAATTTGTACCAAATAAAAGAAAAACATTCTGGTTTTTGTCAATAGGGAAAGTGGTTCTGGAAATAATTATTCAAAACTCACATATATGAGCCACATTAAGGATGTACTGAATCTTAATATCATGGGATACTGTGGCTGAAGAATAGATGTCTATGTGTTTATATGTGTATGTGTGTGCTTGCACACTAACTCAGTAAGAGGATAATTAATGTCATAACTATAATGAAAAGAATGAGAAGGGGATGGTAATGTTAAAAATATATATTAGTCAATTTTAACAAAAATAAAGAAGCAGACTATTATGATCTTTAGTAGTTTTGATAACTGGCCTAGGGTTGTTCATACCTCATACCGATGACTTTGCTGAGCACATTCTTCACATCCTTATTCCTCAAGCTATAGATCAAAGGATTCAGCATAGGGGTCACTGTGGTGTAAAACACAGAGGCCACTTTCTCCTGGGCCATATTATTAGATGCTGGTTTTAAGTACATGAATATCATGGATCCATATAAAATGCCAACAACTGTAAGATGGGAGCCACAGGTACTAAATGCTTTGGATCTGCTTTCAGATGAGGGTATCCGAAGAATTTTGGAGAGTATAAAGGAATAAGAGATGATAATGGCCACAGTTGTTACTAACATATTGAATCCACCTCCAATTATCACCAGAAACTCATTGATATAGGTGCTGGAACAGGAGAGCTTTAGGAGAGGCAGTATATCACAGAAGTAATGGTGGACAATGTTGTCCCCACAGAAGGAAAGCCTTGTCATGAAAATAGTGTGGATCATAGCTCCAAAAGAAGCCATGATATAGACTCCACTAACGAGCATATTGCAGACCTTTGGGGACATGGTGACATTGTAGAGCAGTGGACTACAGATAGCGACATATCTGTCGTATGCCATGGCAGTCAGCATATAGCATTCAGCAATAGCAAAAACACAAAAAAAGAAGAGCTGGGTCATACATCCATTGTAAGAAATTACATTTTTCTCACACACAAAGTTTCCCAGGAGTTTGGGAGTAACAACTGAGGAGTAAAACAGGTCTAGAAATGACAAATTACCAAGAAAGAAGTACATGGGTGATTGGAGCTTGGAATTGAAAGAGATGAGGAGGATCATCCCCAGGTTCCCAACCACAGTAACAACATATATCACTAGAAACACGAAGAAGAGAGGCAGTTGGAGTTCTGGTTTACCTGTCAATCCCTCCAAGACAAACTCAGTCACTGTAGAATCGTTATTCTGTCTGGCCATTTTCTTCAGAAAACAGGGCGTGTGAAACTAATAAAAATTTTAAAACATAGGAAGTAAGAAAGCTGTTTGTCTGTTATTAGTAAAAGGTTTATTAGTGTTATAAAAATTAGAACCTTTTAAAGGTGTCAGTCATAATGTGGTGAACGCTATATGTTATATCAAGAGAAAGATTTGGCTTTCTACACCTGTAAAGAATAGCCCTGGACACCCACAGGGGCAATTCTACTTTATTTTACAGTGTTGCTTTATCCTACAGACTTGACATGATGGCAGTGAGAAGACTTTTAGGGTGATGATTAAAAACAAAGAATAAATACAATGTGATCTTTAAAATGCTAGGAAACTATCTCTGTAGGATAAAGATGTCAATATTTGTGTACCCTCCAAGATTTTTTTTTTTTTTGTAACTGAAAGTAACTGGAACTCAGCAGTTATGGATTGAATTGTGACTACCTATTACAGTGCTAGCACCTTCGGTTGTACAAATATCAAGCTCTTTATTATTAAATCTTAAGAAACTAATTTTGAGCTTATTTCTGCCCATGTATACGTACTACTTCTCAAAGAGAAACTGGCAAGGGGATATATGAGGGTCAAGATTCATAATTTTAAAGGGAAATACAGAGGCCATGATGCTTAAAATTAAGCAGGTCTTCAACTTAATCTTGGATAGTGTTCAATTGAGTGAATACCTGTTATATTTGTTTTTCTTTCTAAGATAAACTTTGGAGGCTATTGTAGGTGCATAATAAGAAACTAATAAAACATGAACTAATTGATAAGATCTATTCCTATTTCTCCATCCACTGCACACCCAATAGGCAGCTGAAAACTTTATCTGTAGTTTCAGTTGTGTTGGCTTAAATAACAAACACCTACAGTTCTTTCAGTAAAATATTGATTTATAATGCATCCTAAGAAATACCATCATATAATTAATGATTTAATAAAAATATATGCAGAATTTTGCGTACTTACTTGAATGCTCTCCGCGGTAAAAGAGTTGCTGCTCCTACTTAATTTATATTTTCTCTCTGGTGATGTGGTAAATTTACATGATAAATTCAACTTCGTGGCAAACCTGACTGTTCTGGAATCTGGTTGAACTTGTTGAGAGAATGGTGTCAAAAGTCAAATGGCACCCACTGGGGGGGAAAAAAAGAAGAATTAGAATCTTACAAATTCTCAAACTAGATTTCTGCTTCAGCTGTGTCACTATCTCAGTCTGTGACATTGGGAAAACCATTTGACTTTTATTCTTCTTTCAAGGATGGGGTTGGGCTGAAGATTTCAAAGCTGTTTTGTAGCTCTAAAATTTTACAACTCTGATTCTGCCTGGAGTTAATGATAATAAGATGCCCTGCCACCACCAGATTGTCTTTTGTATTTCATGGGTTCAATTGATTTGTTGTTTATAGGTCTTTGATCTCCAAGGAGATGCAAGAGTATAGTAGTCTCCTAGGACGATAAGTCCAGTGGACAATCTTCAAAGTGAAATTCTCTTGAGAAGAAAAGCAATTACTGGGTTAAATTGTTAACCAAAATAATGGCACTTCCAGAATACTGGCATTTGAAATATCCAGCACTAAAGTTTTGTTATTGCTTTTTATAGGTAAAAATCTTTATGCAGTAAAGAGCAATGGCTCACTTGTGAAATGAATGTAGGGTCATTCTGAACAGAATTCCAACAATTTCTTGAAATTGTTGTCGGGTATGTCAAAGAACAATGATCTGCCTCAGGTCTGTTTGTGTTGCAGTGGAGGAGCAGAGACGATCTTGCTTACAGATTTTATTCTTTGTATCATATTTAAGGTCAAATGACAATTATTCTTGCAGAATTTGGAGTAAACAAATATCCGATTAGTGTCAATGACAACCCAAACAGGAAGATCCAATCATATCCGTTTGGGTTCCAGTCACCTCTAAAAAGGTTTTCTTCCTGAATTTCATGCAGTTTCATAAGCTGTAGGGAGCTTCTCAACCTATAGCAAGCTTTCCTTGATTTCTCCAAAAGTAAAATCGCGCACTTAAGATAATGGACTGTGAGAGTTCAATATGATCTGGTGGTGCGGTGGTTAAAGTAGTTACTAAGCAAAATGTAGGCAGTTGGACTCCACCAACTGGAAATAAGTGACTTTCAGATTCCCTAAGTTCACAACTTTGAAAGCCCTATGAGACTGGTCTACCCAGTTGTATAGTTTGCTGGGTCAGAAGTAACAGCAGTGGGTTTTGTCTTAGGACTCCTAGAAAAGAATGGTTTCCAATTCACCTCGAAGTACTTCATTTTTCCAATGATTCAGTGCTTTTTTCTCTTTCAAAATTAGTAGGCACCCTTACTCACTGCCATTGAGTCAATGCTGAGTCATAGCGAACCCTTGTGGGCTTCCAAAACTGCAACCGGAGAAGAAAACCCTTTTTGTCTCCGGTGGAGCTGCTAGTGGTTTCAAATGCAACTACCGGATTGCAGCCCAATGTGTAACCACTACACCACTGGGGCTCCTTAGAGATGCATAAAGAAAGTGCACTGAGATATCAGTATTAGAACTTTGATAAAGTTCTCCGCCACTGCTCTAACTATGAAATCTCAAAGTTCTCAGGTCAGTAAGTATGTACATGTGAATAAAGCAAAGATAGTACTCTCACACCTGTTTTCAAAATCATTGATACTTGGAACAAGAATTAGCTTCTATTATTTGCCTTCGTTTTTCTACTAGTGGTCATCTTTTAAAATCCACCTGCTGAGCTAGATAGGCTTTCCTGATATACAAGTTGAGTGGATAATTTAACCCATGAACCGATAGTACTAATCAATAAAAATAACTTTTGTATTAACTAGTTAGATTTCTTTTTGCTTATCTATTTTTTGTATAAACCATAGAGCATATACTACACTAACTGAAAAGCTATTTACATTTGTTGACAAAAATAGCAAACTTTATTTTTAAACTCTAAAGCAATATTTATTTTACATACGATCCATGAAAAAAGAACCCAATATCCTGAAAGTATTGCAATTCTCTTGATCTACTTACATAAATGTTTTAGTCTTGATTCAGTAAAATTTAAAATGTGAGTTTCATGATAAATAACAGAATAGCTTTTCTTTTCACTAGTATAAAAAACTGTTTTACTCTTCTTTCTGCAGGTTACGATGCTGGGGTCATATTACATTTGCTGTGGCTGTAAATACAATACATGCATTATTATTATTCCATTATTTTTAAGTGCTGTTGAGTTGATTTTCAAGTAATAGAGACTATTTATTAAAAAACAGTCTTGCTCCATAAGATTTTCTAACCTATATTCTCTCTGGAAGTTGATGAACATATCTTTCTCCCACAGTTCAGCCAGGTAATTTTGGTTAGCAGATGAGTACTTAACTTTTGTGATCCAAGATCCCTTATATAATAAATAAATATAGAATATTCTTTATAAGAAATGATTTGATCAAAGTACACTCATAATTTTGTGTATAGTAGAAGCATTGTTGCCCTACTTAATTTGTAATTTCATACTTAATTTATATACTAACATTGTATAATATAAGAATAAATATAAATTTGTGATGTTGTTGTTGTTAGGTGCCATAGAGTCAGTCCCACCATATTATGCAATACTCCCTTCTTTTGTGCCCACAACTGCTTCTTGATCCACATTAAAGTTCCTCATGAGCACAATGAAGTGTTCTGAAATTCCCATTCTTCTCAAGGTTATCCATAGTTTTTTATAATTCACCCAGTTGAGTGCCTTGGCATAGTTTATAACATAAATAAACATGTTTCTGGTATTTTCTGATTTCAGCCCAGATGGATCTGACATCAGAAATGATATCCTTTGATCCATGTCCTTTCTTAATATATCCTAAACATCTGGCAGCTCCCTATCAATGTACTGCGACAGCTTTTGTTGAATAATCTTCAGCAAATTTTTGGCACGTAATATTGCTCTATAATTTGAGCATTCTGTTGGGTTCACCTTTCTTTAGAAGGGTACAAATATGGATCTCTTCTAGTGAGTTGACCAAATAGTTGTCTTCCAAATTTCTTGGCATAAATGAGTGAGTGCTTCCAATGCTTCATCAGCATGTTGTAACATTTTTGTTGTTGGTATTTCATCAATTTCTGGAGCCTTGTTCTAGGATGATGCTTTCAGCGCACCTTGAGGTTCTTTCTTCAACATCATTGGCTCCAGCTTATATGCTACCTCCTGAAATGGCTAAATGTTGACAAGTTATTTTTGGTACAAGACTTCCATATAAGAATATAGATATTATCCTATCACAGACAGCATTGTACTCCAAGATATGTCCTAAAATTTATTCTTGATGATGAATTCAATGCCATTTCTCTTGAATACTACATTATTCTTGGCATGGTAAATGATATAATTTGTTCAAATTGGCCAATTCTAATCCATTTCTGTTATATATATATATATATATATGTATAGTATCAATATTCATGTGTTCTATTTCACTTTTGAGGACTTAAAACTATTTTACTTGATTCATACTTCTAATTATTTGTGGAAATGTGCACATGCTACTTATACTTTTGACCCATTCTCCATGAATAAATGAAGGTCCTGAAAACTTTGCCCCATCCACCTCAAATCTATTTTGAGGCAATAGCTTTTCCACAGTTATATTTTATACACTTTCTGACTTGAGGGGATTATCTTCCAGTACCATATCTGACAGTGTTCCAGTGATATTCATAATATTTTCAGTGACTAGGACCTCAGATGCAGACAGCTAACTGCTATTGTTTCTTGTTAGTCTGGATACTCTGCTGAAACCTGTTCACACAGGTTGACTCTCCTGGTATCACAGCAAATACTTATTATGACAAACTGATAAACAACTGGTCCTAGATAGAGTGGAAGACAAATGTGGAATAAAACTAAAAAGAAAAAATAATAACAACAAAACACATGCTGTCACACCCCTGATACTATGGGCTTTAGGCCACTGAGTAGATGCTGACTCATAGCAACCCAATATA